TTTATTGAATGGATGTTTATTGAAAGATTGTGTTAGCCACCACAATTAAGAAACAACCCCAAAGTTCATAAATGCGTGCATAGTTAAATAAATCCTGATAAAAATCACACTCTGCAAAATTATATAACATTTTAAAAGAATAAGTTAGGAGTTCTGCTTCTGGGAAGATGGAATGACATACTTTTCCCTGGTGCTCCCTCTAAAACACAACAAAAAGCCATGAGGATTATATATAAAATGAAAACAGAAAGAGTGGAGAGGAGGTGGAGAGAAGAATGTACACCTGCAAGAAACCTCAGGACTCAAGGAACAGCATGTAGTGAGTTCCCTGGATTTTTGTTTTGCCTCATATATCCCAGAGTTGAAGCTGAAAAAGCCTGCAACCTGAAAATACCAACGGGGGCAGATTTAAAAAAAAACCAAAAACCTGTTCTCTTACCAAGATAGAAAATTTTAGACACTAACTCTTTAGCCAAATACCACAGAAAAATATATGTGGTTCTGTTCCCAACCCCACCAACAAAGGAGGAGTTGAAAACATAGTTTTCCACCCTTGCTAAGCTGTACCCAGGTGCCCCAAATCTACCCAATAGGATGAAGTCAGAGAAGGCCAAGCAGGCATCTGGGATAGACCTACTGGACAGAAAATCAGCAAGGGTATATAGGAGCTCAACAACACTCTCAAACAACAGGATCTAATCTGACATTTATAGAACACCTCATCCAACAGCAGAAGAATATGCATCCTTTTCAAGTGCCCATGTAATACAGAACATGTTAGATATATCCTGTCCAATAAAACAAATGTTGACAAATTTAAAATAATTGAAATAAAACAAAATGTATTCTGTGACCAAATTACAAATCAATAACAAAAAGATAACAAGAAAATGGCTAAAACTTGAAAAATAACAGACTTTTAAATAACCCGTGGGTCAAAGATGAAATTTTAACTTTCATCTTTTATACAAATACATTGAACCATATGAAAATGAAAATATGACATAGCAAAATTTGTGAGATGCAACTAAAGCAATGCTTAAAAAGAAATTTATAGCTCAAATGCTTATACTAGAAAAGAAAAAAGGTCTCGAATCAATCATTAAGTTCCTACCTCAAGTAACTAGAACAAGAAGAGCAAAATAAAGCCAAAGAAAGCAAAAGGAAGAAAATAATAAAAATAACAGCAGAAATAGATGGAATTGAAAATAGAAAAATAGAGAAAATTAATGAAGTAAAGAGGTGCTTCTTTGAAAAGATCAGTAAGATTGACAAACCTCTAGCAAGACATACAAATTGCTCATATCGGGAAGGAAATAAGTATCACTACAGACCCTTCAGACATCAAACGGATGAAAAGAAAATAGTGTGAACAATGCTACATGCTTTAACAACTTGGATGAAATCGACCAATTCCTTGAAAAATATAAACTTCCCAAATCTACCAAATATGAAATAGATGATTTGAATAGTCCTGTAACTATTAAAAACATGGAATGCATAATTTTTAAACTACTCCCTTTAAAATCTCCAGGCCCAGATGGTTTCAATGGAGAATTTTACCAAATGTTTAAAGAATTCTATGCTAATTTTACATAGTCAATGTCATCTGCCATGTTAACAAACTAATAGAAGAGAAATCACATGATCATATCAATGCAAAAAAAGCATTTGATATAAACACTTATTACTATAAGTTAAGAAAACTCTGAGAAATAGGGCAAGAAGGGAACTTCCTTAACTTGATAAAGATAAAGAGCATCTACATAAAACTTATACCATATATATATATATACACATACACACACATATTTTTTTTCCTGGATCAAGCAATATTAGACTTACACCTAACATTAAACTTAATACTTGAAAGACTAAATGCTTTCCCCCTCAGATTGGAAAGAAGGCAAGGATCTCTGCTCTCATCACTGTTATTCAACATAGTGTTGGAAGTTCTCACCCGTGTAGTAGGGCAAAAAAAAAAAAAAGAAAAGAAAAAACATGTACATTATAAAATAAAAAATAAAACTGCTCCTATTTGGAGATGGCATTATAGTCTACATAGAAAATCCCAAGGAATCTACAAAACAATTCCTGAAACTAGTAAGTGAGCTCAGCAAGGCTGCAGGATGCAAGATAAGCATGCAAAAATAAATTGTATTTTTATATACTAGCAATGAACACATGGATGCTGAAATTAAAAATACAATATCGTTTACACTTGCTCGAAAATGAAATACTTAAGTGTAAATATAACAAGATGTGTATAGAGCTTACATACTGAAAACTACAAAATGCTGATGACAGAAATCAAAGAAGACCTAAATAGAGAAAGAAATATGCCACATTCATGGATTAGAAGACCTAACATAGTAAAGATGGTAATTCTCCCCAAAGTTAGGTATAGTTTTAGCTCAATCTCTATCAAAATTCCGGGAGGATATTTTAGACATAGACAAGTTTATTCCAAAATTTATGTGGAAAGGCAAAGAAACTAGAATAGCCAAAACAACTTAGAAAAGGGAGAATAAAGTGGGAGGAATCACTCTATCCAATTTCAAGAGTATTATGTAGGTACAATAATCAAGACTGTGGTATTGGTGGAAGGACAGACATACAGATCAATGGAACAGACAGAGTAGAGAACCTAGTAGACCCACACAAATATGCCCAACTGATTTTCAACAAAGGTACAAAGGCAATTCAATGGAAGAAAGAGAGTCCTTTTGAATGGTGCTGGAGCAACTGAAAATAGATGAAAAAATGAACTTTGACCTGTGTAGTGGGCTGAATGGTATCCTCCCAAGAGATATGTCCACGTTCTGATTCCTGGAACCTAGGGATGTGGCCTTATTTGGAAGATGAACTTTTGCAAGTATAATTAAGATGAAGAGATCATTCTGGATTCAAGTGAGTGCTAAATTCAATGACAAGTATACTTAGAAGATGGATACACAGAGGAGATAATGATGTGAAGACAGTAGTGGAAATTGCAGTGACATGGCCATAAGCCAAGGAGTACTGGCAACCAGCAGAAGCGGGACTAGGCAAGGAAGCATCCTCTCCTAGAGCGTCCACAGGGAGTGCAACCCTGCCCACACCTTAAGTTCAGACTTCTGGCCTCTACAATCATGAGAGAATACACTCTGTTATTTAAAGCTACCAAGTTTACAGTTACTTTTTATGGCAGCCTCAGGAAATGATATAACCTGTCTCACACCTTATACCAAAAAATCAACAAAATGGATCAGAAACTTAAATGTAAAATTATAAAACTGTTAGGAAAAAACTGGAAAGTGTTTGGAATCTAAAGCTAGCTATACAAGCCAGACCTTATACTTGACAATCAAAACATATCTAAAAATAGAAAATTGATGAATTGGACTTCATCAAAGTTAGCAACTTTCGTTCTGTGGAGTCCCTGTTAAGAGGATGAGAAAAAGCCTCAGACCAAGAGAAAATGTTTGCAAACCATATGTCTGACAAAGGACTGGTATCTAAAATGTATAAAGAACTGTCAAAACTCAACAGTTAATAATTCAAACAACTAAACTAGAAAATGGGCTAAAGACATAAACAGGCAATTCACTGAAGAAGATATATGGATGACAAAGAAGCTCATGAAACAATGTTCAACATTACTAATCTTACAGGAAGGCGAATTGAAACCAGAATGAGATACTACTTCACACCTAGAAGAACAGCTAAAAGGGAAAACTGTGAGAACACCAAATGATGATGAGGATGGCAAGAAACTGGAATCATCATACATTGCTGGTGGGAATGTGAAATGGTACAGCCACTCTGGAAAGCAGTTTGTCAGTTTTTTTTTTTTAAACTAAACATGCAATTACCATATGACCCAGCAATTGCACTCTTGGGCATTTATCCCAGAGAAATGAAAACTTATTTACACATAAAAACCTGTTATGTAAGTGTTTATAGCAGCATTACTTATACTAGCCCCAAACTGGGAACAACTCACATGCCCTTCAGTAGATGAATGGATAAATGATCTGTGTTACATCCATGCCATGGAAGACTACTCAGCAATAAAAAGGAAGAGATTACTGGGAAAGGGGTGGGGGCAGACTAGACTGTTTTGCTTATCCTGTCTTCATCTAACCCTATGTCACCTGTGGCCATAGGACCCAGCTCACAGGTCCCCTGCCCTTGAGCCTCAAAGAGGTGGCTACCGAGCCTCCTAATTTGGAAACAGGCCCACTAGCAATTGAGACCACCTTTGAGGTATGGAAGGAACACCTGGGAGAACCAGTGCCCCCATGACTGTGAACCTACCCACTGTGGCCAATGACAAATAATACACAAAGTTCAGTCCATACCAATTAATGCAGCAATGATTTCCATAAGATTCAAGTCAACAAACTGTTGTGCAAGTTTCAATACTGGAGGCAGCAAAGGCCTTCCCACTCCGACCTGAAAACACAGCAGCAGTTGAGCCTCTTTAGGGGAAACTTCGAACAGCAGGCATGAATAACAATTGGTTACCTATATCCAACTGTGCCTGGCTGAGGCAAACTCACTAGAATGGCCCCAGAGAGTACAGCCATTCAATCATTTAACCATTCACAATTTATTGGACACCTACTGTGTGCCAGCTACTGTTCTAGACAGTATAGCAGTGAACAGAACAAAGTCCCTGCCCTCAAGGAGCTCCAATTCTAGTGGGAGAGCCAATGATAACCAAGAGAAATAAATAAATTACATGTCAGATAGTATTAAGTGCTAGGAAGAAAAACCAGCATGGATAGAGGATATGAGGTGTTGAGGGCTGAGGGTTGGAATTTTAGAAATCGTGGCCAGAGAAGATAACAAACTGAGAAGGTAACATACTGAAAAGGTAACAAATATTCCAGTGGAGATGTGAAGGAAGCGAGGGAGCCAACTACAAAGATATCTAGTTGTTCTGGACATTTTCCATTTGTCTGTCCACATATTCTCCACCCTTCTCCACCCAGCTTGTACCCTGGTAGGCTGACCTGTGCGGACGGCATCAACAGGTTCCCTTGCCTTCTGGCTTCGGGTTAGATTTGACCAATGGGAAGCACCTGCAAAGAGACCAGAAGAGGAAGGAAAAGTGAGATTGGGGTATTTATTCATCCATTCTCTGTGTTCAGGGTCACCATGAGTTGGTGGCATCCCTCTGCCAGACCATAGATCCTATCAGGTGTTTCTCTCCACACAGCAACCCTTCCCCAGTTCTCTTGACCACTCCCTCCAGGGATCCTTCCTGACATACTGAGGATAAGCATTCCAGGCAGAAAAGCAAGAACAATGTGGCTGGCAAGCTTAAAGAATGATTAGGAGGCTAGTGTGGCTAGAATGGAGACGTGGACGATGGGATTTGTAGGAGATCATATCAAGGAGGTAAGGGAGACCAGATTATGCAGGACCTAGTGGACTACTATAAAGATTTTGGCTTTGAATCTGAGTGAGATGGGGAGCAAATGGAGGACGTTGAGTAGAATACTGACATGCTCACACTATGTTTTCACAGCATCACTGTGGGAGACTGATGACAGGGATACTACAATAATCAAGGCCAGAGATGATGATAGCTTGGACTAGGATGATAGCAGTGGAGGTAGTAGGCAGTGGCCGGATTCTGAATAGATTTTGAAGGCGAAGAAGAAAAATCCTGTTTCACTGCAATGACCAGGACAAAAGGCCAAACTAAAGACCAGCAACTTGTCCCTCAGCATGTCATTGTGTACGACTGAAAGTTCTGTTATGCAGCAAGATTTCAGAAGGTCCTGCATGCAACAGGATAATCCTAATATCCTATTATTTGTGTGGGACACAGAACTCTGGGCCAAGGTCCAACCCAAAAGGTTTCTAGACTGTTCCTGACTCCAGAACAATTCCAGAAAACGATTATCACGGGTTTTTTAGCCAATCTACCCCACCCCAGAGCCATATCTCCATGGGGTGGTGCTGGGCGCCATTTTTTCCCCTGCTCTAAATCCTTTATTGGCTCCAGCCACTCTACCCCCATTGGCTCCTCCATGAGGTGGCTTAACCATGTCACATCAGAAATCTGGAAAACACTGTCCACGACCTGTCCTGTCCATACCTTCTGCCCTCTACTCACTGACTCACAGGTTGACACCAGACGGAACACATCCAACCACTGAGCAGATAGGGACATGAGTCACACATGCAGTTAGAACAGAGTGTGGGCAACATCTCAAAGGTGCCAATAGTTTGATAAGGATTTTACAATTTTCCTGGGAAAACAGACAACCGTCAATTATATGCAGGTTATTGAAAGGGAAGAAAAAATTGAAAACTTTGGCCCCATAGGCTGAAAGCCCCCAGCTTGAAACATCTCCCGGGAGCAAAAGTGCCCTGGCATTTTTTGGTGCACAGTGTTGATTCTCAGAATACGACTGTTGCTTCATATTCACGAACCCCACCCCCTCCCCAGCAAAGGCACCAAGCTGGAAACTGGAGAACAGCACATGATTCTGAGGGATCATTCCAAAGCCAGGAAAAACTGATGGTATTTTGTTTATGTTCAAAGAAATCAATCCAAAGAGATCAGCCCCACAGCCAAAGTCAGCAAGACGGGAGAGCAAACTGCTGCCAACCTCTGGGTCCTGGGCCACTCATCAAGGAGAGAGGATGACCTGCATTGGAATCTGAGATCCAAGACTTTCAAGCTGTGTGCCCTTGGGCAAGATTTTTAACCCTCCTTAGGACCTCAATTTTCTCATCTGTAAAATAGGGCTAATATCTACCTCACAGAGTTGCAGTAAGGATCAAATGCACTCTTGTGTGTCTGGCATAGCCCCTGAGATACTAGCTACTCAGTATGTGTTAGTTCTCTTCTAGTGCCCACCTTTCTTTGCAAGAGGCAGGCCAGTGGTGTAAAGCAACTCTAGGGTTCCAGTGGTCCCTGGTGCCCTTGAGAAGAACTCTCTGAGGGATTCTCCAGCTCTTGCATGCCAGTGCTGCTTTCTGCTCTTTACTAAAAGGGAATCCTCAGGTTGCTGGCATTTGATCCCAGCAGGACATGGTTCCATGCACAGCTTGGCACCAAAGGGCACTAATTGCCTATTAATTAACTGTACATTCAGCTGACCTGCCAAAGCAGCTGATTTCATTTCCACAATCCCAAATGTTTTCTTATCCCACTCCAACATGCCTGAATCCCTTATGTATGTGAACCACTAATGCAGACCTTTGCTCCACCCCCCACCCTGCTCTCATTCTCTTTTGTCCTCTCAACCTCTCCTCTCTTCTCCATGCTGCTTCCTCTGCCTGTCCCTTGCCTTAGCGCCTTCTCTTTCCTAGCTCTTCCACAAACCTTCATCCAAAGACAGTATTTGTAGGGAGAGAGCAGGTAAAAGTGGCTCAAGTAGATCCATGGTGAGGTTTGAAAGAGACCATTTCACTTCCTCTTTGCCCTGTCATACCAGCCCACCCACAGCCCCACTTTCTTGTCCATTCACACCGGGCTGGGCAATGGAATTGCAGAGCAAAACGAGTCATGATCACTGCCCTCAGAGATCTCAGAGTCTTGTGGGAGAGAGTTGCAGTCCCATGGTATATATGAAGACAGGAGTGGTGGCTCATGCCTGTAATCCCAGCCCTTTGGGAGGTCAAGGTGAGAAGATCTCTTGAGGTCAGGAGTTCAAGACCAGCCTGGGCAACAGAGCAAGAACCTTTCTCTACAAAAAAAAAGAAAAGTTTTTTTTTTTTAATTAGCCAGGCATGGTGGCACATCTGTGTTCCCAGCTACTTGGGAGGCTGAGGCAAGAGGCTTATTTGAGCACAGGAGGTCGAGGCTGCAGTCAGCTGTGATGGCACCACTGCACTCCAGCCTGGGTAACAGAGTGAGAGCTGGAGAGGAGGGTGTACAGAGGTGGGAAGACATCTACCTGTCTCTGAGGGGTTGCAGAAAGCTTTACAAAATGCAGGAGACTTGCAATGGGCCTTGACGCCTGAGTGAGATTTTCCAAATAGAAAGAGGGTCAAAGGGCATCCCAGGGGTGGAGATGGCATGAAAGAGAGAAAGGCAGTATGTGTTTGGGGTTCTGTGTAGCCACACAGTAAGGTCTAGAGACAGATAAACCGTGAGCCTGGAAAGGGGAACAAGGAGCCAGCTCACTAAGGATGTGTCAGGTTGATGGAAAGCTGGATCGCAGGGGGTCAGGATGCAAAACTAAGAAGTTTGGACTTGTTGAATGTTGGAAAGGGACACAATGAAAGTCATGTTTTAAAAAGAAAATTCTGGCAGGCAGAGAGACCAAAAGCAAAAAGGAGGCCAGTAAGGAGATTGCTGCAGTGATCCTGGCACAAATTGAAGTCCTGAAACAGGATGCTGACCATGGGAATAGAAATGAGGAGGCAGAGAAGAGATATCACAGGGGCCTATTTTCTCTACCTCTGGCCTTTATCCTGGAGCTGTTTGGCAACTTTCCCAACACCTCCCTTGACAACCTTAATGGAACCTGGGCCATTTTTGTTTTTGGTTTTTCTCCACATGTTCTCAGCATGGAGCAGAGTGCACTGCACATGAGGATGTGCAGCAAGTGTTGAGTAAATTAACAAATTGGGCTGGGTGCAGTGGCTCATGCCTGTAATCCCTGCACTTTGGGAGGCCAAGGTGGGAGGACCTCTTGAGGCCAGGAGTTGAAGATCAGCCTGGGCAACAAAGAGAGACCTCCATCTCTACAAAAGTTGTTTTAAAAAAATTAATCTTTGGGAGGCCAAGGCGGGTGGATCACGAGGTGAAGAGATCGAGACCATCCTGGTCAACATGGTGAAACCCTGTCTCTACTAAAAATACAAAAAAATTAGCTGGGCATGGTGGTGCGTGCCTGTAATCCCAGCTACTCGGGAGGCTGAGGCAGGAGAATTGCCTGATCCCAGGAGACGGAGGTTGCGGTGAGCCGAGATCGCGCCATTGCACTCCAGCCTGGGTAACAAGAGCGAAACTCCGTCTCAAAAAAAAAAATTAATATACTGACTCATTCATTCACACAACCAGTGCCTACTGAGAGCTACCCTTGGTGCTGAGGATAGAAAGGTGAACAAAACTTGGGCAATATGCATTTTTACCTCAGCCAGCCTTAGCTGTCAGGAAAGGTGATCTTGAGATGGAGGCTGAAAGTCCAGAATGCCTCACCTTCCATAACTACTGAGGGAAACCTTCCCAGCAAGGGGAACTTACAAGCTAAATGCTGAATTGAAAATTCATTCATTCATTCATTAAACCAACACTTGGATAGCACAGAAAACTTTCTGAAGCACTTTCTCAGACATTATATTGCTGAAGTTGGGCCGTGAGGAGAGAAAGGTGGAGGTGGGGGCTGAAAATTGGGGCCTGAAAGATTCCCGCCCAGCTCTGCTGGGTCTGAGCAGACAGGGCCTAGCAGACAGTCTCCTGGGATTGGGGCTGGGCGGTGGGGGGCGGGGGGGTCTGGTGTGAATGGAAATATGCACCACATGGCCTGAATTGGAGGGCTGACCTCAGGCTCCCACAGCCCCAAACACTTCCAGATGGATTTATTTATAACTCCCAAACCAGAGGCAGCACTCGGCTGCTTTTCCTTACTCCCCTCCCCACTCCTGGAGCAAGCCTTGGCCGCCCCTCTCCACTCCGGAAACCAGCGGGAGACTGGGAATGTGCAGCCCCGGAGCCAAGGCCACAGCCGCAGCTTGGGCTTCTGGTCACCGCCTGTCCCCTAGGTGGCAACAGCAGCTCACGGTGTGGGTGTGCCTGTGGAGTCTGACCAGATTCCTGCCACCTGGCCCATCTGGGCTCTCACAGGATGGCTGCTAAATGGGCAGTGCGAGCCAGGCACATTCCCTCTGGCAAGTCTCGGTTCCAGATCTGCCTCCACTTCATAAAGCCACAGTCACACCCATGGCTTCTCATTCTCTGTCTCCGGGACATTCCTAGCCCCTCCCTTCCACCATCTCCCACGGGATACTGCTGCTCACTGCTGCCAGAGGCTTTGGACTCTGACATTTTCCAAAGCAGGAAACCGAAGCTTAGAGAGGTTGAGCAACTTATCCAAGGTGACACAGCAAGTTAAAT